GTGAGGAGAGAGCAGTACTAGTGAGGAGACATCAGTACTAGTGAGGAGACAGCAGTACTAGTGAGGAGACAGCAGTACTAGTGAGGAGGCAGCAGTACTAGTGAGGAGGCAGCAGTACTAGTGAGGAGACAGCAGTACTAGTGAGGAGACTGTAGTATTAATGAGGAGGCAGTAGTATTAGGAGGCAGCAGTATTAGTGAGGACACTGTAGTACTAATGAGGAGGAAGCAGTACTGAGGAGGCAGTAGTATTAGTGAGGAGGCAGTAGTACTCGTGTAAAGTGACCAGACATCCCACTTTTGGCAGGACAGTCCCGATTTTTAAATTTTTCCCGTGTCTCACGGCGTTTTTAAAAAGTCCCAATTTTTTGAAAGAATGCACAACAAGCTAGGGTATACGGTTTTCAGCTGCCATGTGGCTATTTCGCAGGATATGAGTTTTATCAATGGTGTCCCGCTTTACCAATGTTAAAATCTGGTCACCTTATACTAGTGAGGAGACAGTAGTACTAGTGAGGATGCAGCAGTATTAATGAAGAGCCTGTAGTAGTGATGAGAAAGAAGCAGTACTAGTGAGGAGACAGTAGGACTAGTGAGGAGACATTAGTACTGGTGAGTAGACAGCAGTTAGTGAGGAGGCAGTAGTACTAGTGAGGAGACAGCAGTACTAGTGAGGAGACAGTAGGACTAATGAAGAGACAGTAGGACTAGTGAGGAGGCAGCAGTACTAATGAGGCAGTAGTACTCGTGAAGAGAGAGCAGTACTAGTGAGGAGGCAGCAGTACTAGTGAGGAGACAGCACTACTAGTGAGGAGGCAGCAGTACTAGTGAGGAGAGAGCAGTACTAGTGAGGAGATAGCAGTACTAGTGAGGAGACAACAGTACTAGAGAGGAGGCAGGAGTACTAGTGAGGAGACAGTATTAGTGAGGAGGCAGCAGTACTAGTGAGGAGGCAGCAGTACTAGTGAGGAGAGAGCAGTATTAGTGAGGAGGCAGCAGTACTAGTGAGGAGGCAGCAGTACTAGTGAGGAGGCAGCAGTACTAGTGAGGAG